CCCCCCCCCCCCCCCCCCCCACCTCCTCACATTGCTTATAGAGCGACTTTTTAGTGATCAACTTCTAAATAACGAAAATATGTAGGCCCTACATAATATACATCAATGTTGTTGTACTTTCACATTTTAACTGTGAAAGAATGCTTCGAAATGTAAAGACAAACTACATATTATTATACCGCACGTGTTAACATAATATATACATTACGCCCTTTTTGCCTACCACCAGGTACTTCCGGGTCTATACATGAGAGTTACGAGTTTATCCCCTTTCACGTGTACATTGTGATAATGTATTAGTAATGATTAGGTCATTTTGTGTCGCGTGACTACTCAACATATTGCATTATACGTCGACTTCCCTAATTCATCGATGACATTGTTTAATGCTTTGTAGGCTGCTCTCCCGCCAGCTTTTTAAAAAATATATCATGGTTTGTTGCTCTTTCACAGCTCTAAATGATCATTATAATCTCGACATGCTTCGTTTACTCCAATCTCATAGCCCATAACAAGCGAAGGATCGGCAAAAGAAAGAGGTTGATCTAGGCTACTATAATATTATGTAGGCCTACTTTCAATTAAAAAATGTTATATCTCGTTTTCACTCTCATTGGTGGAAGATAATACGACACGCTGTCCGTTCTTCAGTTATTGATGTTGTTTGTGTTTTTTTCTTCTTTTGATGAAATACGAGATAAAAAAAATGTTGACACAAAACTAATGATTTTGCACTCCTTCAGCCAACTAGGCTAGATCTAGATTCTATCTGATCCAGGCCAGGCCTACAAAACCTATAAAGCATCTGTGGGCCTATCGGTTCTGAAGTAAGGGAGACCACTCTAGTTGTAAACTAGAAAGAGTTGTGTGTTATCAAGATGGCTGCCGAAGTGAGAGAGGCGGAGCAAATCGGCAACACATCTGACTCAGACTCTGTACAAACCGAGCTTTTGGAAACAAATGAAATTCCAGGCAAAAGTGAGAACGCCTTGTTAGTAGCAACAGACTCATTTGAGGATTTAAACTATGCAGGTCTTACCAATGGCACATTGCCGACTGTTTCTACTTCTGGAACAATACATTCGTTAGTTAAAAAGAAGGCCCGACGAGCCAGCGCATTACTGGATGAAAATGAAGCTGCAGGTGACAACACAGCCTCCAGCGATGAAACCACAAACGCTGTTGATCAAGAATCATCAGAAGTATCAGGAGAGGACTCACAAGAAGATCATCTTGAGGTAAATCAGCACATCTAGAAGAATCATGTTGAACAAATGCCTGTCCGTTATTCTATCTTTTTCATTCTTACTTTTTCAGCTGAATACTTTGATTTTCTGCTGTTTTTAATGTCGTCATTATTATGAATTCAGGGGAAATCCATCCACCTTATAATACAAATCATAATAAATATCTAGACTAGATCGAAGTGACAGTCTGGTCATCTGTCATTTTTAATTCCTCCATTCACAATTTTCATTTACGGTCTGTTTCATTTAAGACTAAGAGGACTTCGACTTTCAATTTAATTAGACGTTTGTCAAATTGTTGAAATCGAAGAACCTGCCATTTTTTGTTTGATGGACAATTTTTATTGATTTTTTATTTTTGGGCTCAACGCTTTTTATGTTCATATAGGAACACATTTATAAATCTGCTTTGATTAATTACTTCAGGGGAGGACTTCCGTAACTAGCGACCACTGTGAGACAGAGTAGAATAGAAAGCTAGGGATAGGGTTAGGTGTAGGGGTAGGGGTAGGATTATTAGGATTAGGGGTAGGTCTTTATTGGGGCGGTCGCTCGTTATGTAAGTCCTTATTACTTCAGGGATGAAGGGACAAGTTTGAGCCGAGAACTTTGATAAATTTACTGTTTGTCCTCGATGTGCTCTCTTGAATTTGGGAGAAATTCATGATCCTGCACAACTAAAATTTATTAACCCTCGTCCTGCGGGGGCTGGGTTTGTAGCTCGATAAGCCTATTTCGGCACCTCGCCTGCGTTCTGGTCCCGCATCAGTCTGGCCCCTGGCTCAGCGCACGCACGCCGAGCATCAGTTCCAGTTTAATTCGGGTCCCGCGTCGGATCTGCATTCACGCAGCTCAAGTGTGTGTGCGTTTGTCTGCTTGAGTTTGTGTGCGTTTGTGGCCTTCTTCTAGAAGAGCCTGCGTTGGTTCGTAACCAAGGCATACGTTTCATTCAAAACACGCCAAGTTGGTAGCTGTAGATGTGTCCAATGAAATTATAGAATAAATTGACCCACTTAGACGTGAGGAGCTTGAAAGGATGGTCAGGAATAAAGACTTCCATTTTTCTATACAAAATCTTTCAAATGAGCTTGATTTTGTATGAAATGATACTACCTGATAAAAAATATAAGCTTGTTTTGAATACCGTTGCAGGTACAAAGAACAATTTTAGTGCAAAACATTCGGAAATTGACCTATATTATCCCCTTTCGAATCCCAGGTCATTCATAACAACAAGAGCGTCTAGAAAGGTATTCGAATGGGCGTAACTACTCGTAATGTCTGATTTATCAGCTTGAGAGAGGGGGTTATTCATTGTTTATAACACTTTATAAATAGAAAGCTGTGAAAGATAGAGCGTTATTTTCATCATCGATTAACACACTCCCACGGTATTCATGGCGAAAACGCTCGTTTCCCGGCACGCGCACTGTACACCAACAGTACACACTGAGTGACTCCGGCGGCCTGCCCGGAACGTCCGACGTAATCGGTTGCTGATAAGATTCGTATCTCAGCACAGACGCAGGACAAGAGTTAAAGTAAAAGTCTGTATATCTTGTCATTTTTCATTCCTCCTGTCTGACAATATTTAGAAGAGGGAACTTTGATTTTCCATTTTTGATGTGTTCATGAATTAGTAGAGGGAGATCAATTTGATCCACTAATTCAACTGACACTTGATACTTGCAACAGTTTGTCATGATAAGTTTTTGACTTTCCGTTTTTGGTGCACTCATAAATTCTGATGAAATTCATTTGATCCACACAATACTATAATACAAAATTGATTACTTGTACAAGTAACACTTTGTATTCATGAAATAAAAGTTGTCATAGGAGCTATTATTATGGTGAGCATCTTTATTTGAGGAATGGGTTCTTTCTACTGCTTCGGAAATAATTATTTGATATTTAATAATTCTGTATTAAATAATTGTTTTGCTGTCAGACTTGTATTTACTTGTTACTTTCTGTTAAGTTTTGTAATTCCTTTTATTTAAAAAAATTTTTTTTTTGGTAAGTGTTTTATGGCGCTCGCAACTGCATAAGGTTATATTAGCCCGCAGGACTCATCAAACTTTTTCATTTGGTGGGAAGTTTTGAATTTTGCCTGGGTGGCGGCCAACTCCTGCTCTTATCGATTTTAGACAACCAAGGGATCTTTAATGTGGGCAACTTGCACACGGGCCCTCCGAGATTTTTGGCCCTTTCCTAGATCTTTCCTACCTGAAGATCAGGGGTGGGACTGAAAGACAGCAGTAAGAAGGAGCCAAGGAGTAGCAGTAGAAAGGCTACAGAAAGAGTCAGGAGCCCAGAGGAGGGTGCATAGGAGGTGAGGGTGTGGGGGCAGAAAGTGGAGACAAAAGCAGACGACAGAACATTGTTAGAGAGCAGGAAAGGAGGTGAAAGGAGACCATATTAGAGAAAACATTTTTTCAGTCACTACCGGGATTTGAACCCGGGACCTTTGAATGAGAGGCCAACACCTTAAGCTCTAGGCCACAAGAGCCCCCTCTTTATTTGTTTTGTTTTCTTTTCAGATTATTGTTCTAATGAATTGAGTTGATTTGTTTCAGTATAAATATGTGGATGCTACAGCTCGGTTTCCAATGCTTTCATTGCAACTAGATCTTTTTTTTCTTTTCTATTAATGGTCATTTGTATACAGTTCTGTGGTATCATTATTTATCCAAACTTTTTACTCTCTTTTACCCTTGAACTATTTTGTTTTATATTTCTAATTGTATGAAAAGTTTGGTACAATTAATATTAAGTTTTTGTTTTTTGTATAGTCACGCCTTACAGATCTGTCACTTAATGAGACGGAATCGCTACCTGAAGAGATTCCCATGACGCAGCTCATTCCTACCTCCTCGGATATTGAGGATGTGAATAGTCTGGAATGGAAGCAACAACGAAGGCACATCTTCATCATCAGTGAATCTGGAAAACCCGTTTACAGCAGGTATGTATTACGACAGAAGAGTACGATGTCATGTACCAATGCCTGTAATGGGGCATCATCATCATCATTGTTTAAAGCAGATATTATAACGGTTAAGACCTGGTAGTATTTCCAAAATTTTAATCACAGGTTCAACGTTTTGCCCTCAACGGGCTTCATCAGGAACATTCACAATATAAATGACTAAATCTACACAAACTGTAAAAACCAAAGTGCGTACATTCTTGTCACAACGCTAAAAGGAGCGGTGAGCACTAATCAGAAAGGTCAGAGAAAGGGGAACACTAAGGCCAGAAGTGGTAGAGAGAGAGAAGGGGGGGGGGGGGGGAAACAGGTGCGTGGAGGTAAGGAATATAATATTATCATCATCATCATCAACATCATCATCATCATCATCCTTTCCCAACCTGTACCGGACAATAGGCCACCAACAAGAGCTCTCCATGTGCTTTGTCCTGGGCTATAGACTCCACCTCTGTCCAGGTGTATGCCATCTCCTTTAGGTCAGAATCTAAGAACTGTAGTTAGATGCCTACAAATAAATTTGAAGAAGCACGAAAATATTCTCTCAAGTTTGGCTGTTTTGAAGCCTTTTTTGTTTTTAAGGAAAATCTGTAAAAGTCACTATTGCGCTGTCCTTGCTTATATTGCCCGCCCTTCGCTGATCTTCTCAGATATGTATGTATGGTTATAGTTTTATTCAGTGTTGTACGTTATTTTCTGGGTTTAAGAAGTCAAAATCATTTATGTGTGAAAATGTAAAAATGGAATAATTTTCGTTAGGGCAGGTTTGACAAAATGTAAAGATAGATTATTTAATTGATCTTGTGTCTTGTACTTTCTGACGTGATCTTCATTTTTAGTAAATTTTACTTTTTCTGCCACGACTGTCACCAGACATGGCAGTGAAGACAAACTGGTGACAATCATGGGCGTGATGCAGGCCTTAGTCATCTGCACCCATGACTTCCAGAAGGATACTCTACGCTCCATCGTAGCGGGTGACCACAAATTTGTCTTCATGTGCCGAGACCATCTCACGTTTATCGGGATCACGAGGGGGCGGGAGTCGACCCAGCAAATGTTGTTACAGCTCACTTACATGTACAATCAGGTGAGAAGTTTTTCTTTCGTCTTGTCTCGTCTGCTTGTTAAAGTAGCCTTCCGATGTTGTTGTTTGTTATTGTATTGCGAATTTTATGGGAAAAGAAGGGAGGCCTGGATGAAGTTTAAAAAAAAATAAAAGCTCATGTTGTTGTTATTATTGATCTAGCGACAGCTATGTCTGTAGGTCCTCGCCCGTGTGGCCATTGTCATTTGTTAGGCCATACTTCTTTTTTTTCCCTCTGTTATTTCTGCCTGTCTTCCTTTTTCTGCGCAATAAATGAAGGTTGTTGTGTCCATGTTTTTCTCTTTACTTAAAATCAAATGCAATAAAAATAGTAATAATAATGATAATAATATTAATAGATAACATTTACGCTGCACAATCCCATTTTCTATAAAATGCTCAATGTGTATTACATTCATAAAGATATATAAATATATATTATATCATATTTTAAAAATTCATGGATATGTGTGTAGTAAGACATAATATTATGTATACATGTCATGTACATGTATTAAAAATTTCTACGAGAAAATTAGTCACGCAGTAAGCCTGGCAAAAATATAACTGTTTTCACATGGATGTGCATCCTCTTTCCTCCTCAGGTCATCAGTGTCCTGACCCTCTCGACGCTCACTCGCATCTTCAAGCAGCACCGGAACTACGACTTGCGGCGCCCGCTGAGTGGTGCGGAGAAATTCTTCGACAACCTACTCAACCTCATGGACGTGGAGCCAGGCCTGCTGCTCTCCTCGGTGAGGTGTCTACCGCTGGACAGCTCTGTGAGGGAGAACATCTCGCACAGCATCGTACAGCATGCAAAGGTCAAGGTGAGGAAGCTGAAACGGTCGTGGCTGGTTTTGTTTGTTAGGGGTGTCTTTATTTTTGTTCACAGGGTTGCCGTTTTTCGGTGTCTTTTTTTTTTTCTCTCTCGTTATTACCGTTATTTTCACTAGGAGAATGGGTTATTATTCCCAGCATTTGTTTTCAGTTTTATTAGTAGTCTAATAACTGTTTTTTGTTTGTTTGAAATTGCATCACCGAAAATTTTAAAGTGTTCAATGTTCAGAAAGTTTTAGAACATCTGAAAATATTAGACATCATTGTTATTTTTAGATTTATTTCGTGTTTGTTTATAATCCTTTTTACATTGCTGGTTTTTTTTTTTCGTTTTTTTCCATTTCACAACTTGAGTCGAGAGATTTCAAATATTTTGTTTTGTGGATTTTTTTCATTGGTAGAGCTAAACTGGTTCACGACATTGTTATTTCCTCTTAGAGAATTTATTTTCCAGAAGATTCATATAAAGATAACAGGTGAAAAAAAAGCTAAACATAGTAACACCTCAAACCTTTAACTTTTATACATACAACCTATTTGTGTTGCAAGCGCTGTAAAACTCTGATTAAATTTACTAAAACTAAAAATGTTGATATCCTTCTTTTTACTTAAAGTGCCGTAGCACTCTTATTAAAACTTAAAGAAAAACGTTGATACACTTTAAAAAAAAACTCTAACTCAAACAAAGTGCCATGCATAAAACTCTTACTAAAACTAAAAAAATGTTGATGTTCTTCTTTTAATTCAAACAAAGTTTATTGACCAATGTGTCTGTGTGGCAGGACTTGGTGTTTGCCCTGATCATTGCTCAGAACCAGCTGGTGACGCTGGTGAGGATGAAGAAGTACTACATCCACCCCATGGACCTGCACCTCATCATCAACCTCATCAACGCCTCAGAGTCTTTCAAGGCGGCCGAGTCCTGGACGCCCATCTGTCTGCCCAAGTTTGATGCTTGGTTAGTCCGGCCTCTTTTCTCTCTTGTTAAAATTAATAAGTAATTATAGCCAGGTCACGTGTCCAATTGTTTCTGTATGAAAAAGAAATACCAACTTTTTTTTTATTTGAGGTTTCAATGGATTGTAATTGTTGTTGTTATTAATCCAGTAGCCTTTGAGCATGTTACCTTCGGCCCAGTGCCATGTTAAAAAATAGGTTGATTGTTTTCAAAAACTGTTCTTTTCTGCAGTATAGGGTATTGTCTGAGGTAGGAATGGCAGGAAGTTTCAGTTTGAGATTTTTGAAGAGCAGATGTTAATGCATTGTAATACAAACCATTTATCAGTGTTTCCTCATCTGTTGGTTGGTGGGTGCTCTGGTGTGATTTGCTCCTTCTTTCCTATCAAACATCTATCGTCCTTATCTCTCCTCCTTTTTTTTGTGACACCTCCAATCTTTGGGAACATCAGCTCTGCCCGACTTTTTGTCCTCGGGAAAGGCGCTTTACACGAATTTCCCATTTTGCTCCAGAGATGGATGTTAAACTCGGAGGTTCTGCATCTTAAGTTACCTAATAGTGTTGACTGGGGTGTTAAACATATACCATTTCACCATTTTTCTAATCTTCGGCACCTATATGACTTAGTTGTCTTCCAAGTGCTGTAAAAACTCTTACTAAAACATAAAAACTATATTGGTAATATTTCCTCAGCGGTTTCCTTCAAGCCCATGTGTCTTATCTTGATGAAGAATGCCATACCTGCCTGCTACTGCTGTCTGTGGATATCGAAGCCTTCTACATACTGTCAGAGTGCAAAGCCAAGATCAAAGAGGTGAGGAACATCAGCTCTCTATTCTCTTCACTTCTTGTTCTTTTTCTTGTTCTTGTTCTTTTTCTTGTTCTCCTTATTTTACTACTTCTTTTCCTCTTCTTGTGATTGGCAATTTATTTATGGAGTTTTTTTTTTTGGCTCAACACCTTTTATGTGTGTTTAAAAACATATTTGTGCATAAATTTTACTGAAAAAAGTTAATTAAAGGTTAAAAAAATGTAAATTTTCAGTTGTCAAGGACTTTCAAGCTGTGGAAGTTACCAAATTTTGGGGGCCACTTTCTTGCTTATTTTATGTCTGAAACCAGGTGACCCCTACCTCCTTCAACAAATATCTCGACTTCTATTCAAGACAAATGAGTATTTTTTTTTTCATCGAAAGATAGACAAATGAACCAGCTTTAAGATTAAATACCAATAACTCTTCATGTTGTTACAAGAAGTGTTGGAGAATATTGTAACAACAGGCAGGTTTGATGGAAAGAGAGGCGGAGGCAGACAGAGGGAAAAGATACTGGACAAGATGACAACATGGCTAGGAGCAGCAAGAACAACAGACACCATTGCTGGAACGCAAGACAGAGTGAAGTGGAGGTCCATGATCGCCCACGCCAGTCTGCAAGGCACCGGTTGATGATGAACTCCACATGCCCAAGAATTGACGAGCGCCTGATTCCACCGTGTCGTGACACATGTTACCTTTTCTTTTTTAGCGGCTGGTCCGGTACAACGCCCTGAAGGCCATCAACGACTCTCTCCGCCGCAACTCCTACTCCATTCAGCAGTGCAGCATCAGCGACCTGCGCCACTTCCTGTACAAATCGCGCAGCATCGCGCAGTACACCAGCCCCGAGCTGGAGGCGCCCTACCACACCAAGGAGGAGCAGCAGCGGCTCTTTGACCTCTACCACTACCTGCACGACCGTATACACACCTCGGGCCGACAGCTCAAAATCTTGTTCCACGTCGGCCCATACGAGACGCTTTTGGGATGGGTAAGGTCTTTTTAGCCCATTCGTAATGCAAGCTCAATTTGCACTTTAACCCTAACCGTACGTCGTGTTTTACTATCGTATCTGTTCGACGTGGGGAACTCTGTCCCTCCGCTTTCCGAAGAGGAAATTTACTCGTTAATCCGATCCGTACGCTTTGCATAGCAGTATGTCAAAATGATTTTTTGAGAAATACTGAAAGTTTCGAAGAGATCTTTGTACTAGACGTATTCTAAAATGTGAAAAATACAACCTGGGGGATACAAAGTGACCCCAGGGCGTATGAATAGGGTTAACAAGCACAGATTTGTGTTTTACTAAGCACAATTTTAGATGTCAAGGTAAACAGGGTGGCGCTTGATTCAGTGGTCGATTGCCTATAGTTAGGTCTGGTTTTTAAATATGACACACTATGTCTAAAAGCAAAATATTTCTTTGAATGTGAAAAGTACAGCTGATATTGAACCCGCAACTGGTTTAACAAATCAAATCTCATAGAAAGTACAACAAATACGAAATATTAGGAATATGGCTCGTCATTATGGCCCTCATGCTTTGCAGGGCATGATGAACACCTTTCAGGAAATATAAATGCCCAGCATAAATACTGTTATTGTTATTAATGTTGTTGTTGTTGTTCTGTTATTTTTGTCATCATCATCATCATCATTATCATCATCATCATCATCATCATCATCATCATCATCATCATCATCATCATCATCATTATTAATATTGATGGCTGAACTGTTATAAATTATTACTAATATTTGTATTAACATTATTGTTATCATTATGATTATGATTATGATTATGATGATGATGATGATGATGATGATTATTATTACAGGTCACCCAAGGGTTTGAGCTGTATGCTGTTTTCGGCCCCTTAGTCACCAAGACCATTGCCATCCATGCCGTGAACAAACTGCTACGCTGGATCAAGAAGGAGGAAGACCGCCTGTTCATTCTCAGCTCAGTGACATTTTGATTGGCTGGGGGGGCAAATTCCTGGCCAGCAGGGACGTAAACAGAACCCCCACCCCCATACCATCTACATCTTGCCCCCTCCTTTACGAGGGTTTTTTTTTTTTTTCGGAGTGGATTCTGCGGGTTTAAGTTTTAAGTTTTTAAAAGGGAATACACGCAAGGCTGTCCAGTTCTATATTTGAGGTTTATGCGTTTTGTTTACACACGTTTAACTCACTTGGTTACTTGGTTGGAGAATAAGTACCATTGTGGGCAGTTCACAGCCATAGTTGCTCCTCCCTAAGATCCATGAATGGGTTGGCTTGTGCATTTGATTCGTATAGGTGTCAGTGCAATGTAAAAT